AAATACATAATAAGAAGTACGAAACTTAACAAAACAAAATTTAAGTACATGAACTTTAAATAAGACATTAAAAACACATAACAACATTATTTATTTCCCAGTTCAATTATCAATCTTCAATTGCGATCGCCAAAGAAGTCCTCAGCTTCTAGATGAGTAATATCACTGAGCCCATCAAAAGCATCATCTTTCAATGCTAAATTCGCCTCAACATTCTCATCATATTTTTGAGAAGACCCTGCCTGAGCATCATCTTTGAGAGTCAAATGTGACTCTACTCGGGCATTGGAAGATGAGGTACCGCCTTTATTCCCTTTTCTTTTGAAGGAATTTTGATACAGCCTGACAAAATGCTCAGGTGCCCGACATTCATTTTTTCAATGACCTTTAAGGCCACAACGATGACAGTGATCGCCCTTGCCTTTTGAAGGATTATTTTGAGAACCCATATTGTTCTCCCTTTTGTTATGACCACCACCTCGACGATTATTATATCGTTTTTTGCCTTTGCCACGCCCGCGCACATTATCATGGCCTCGATTATTTTGTCTTATTTCAGACTGGCCGTGTGCTTCTACCCCGTGGGCCTCCGGCAATGGAGCACTTCCAGTGGGACGGGCTTCATGATTTTTCATTAAAAGGTCATTATGCTGCTCAGCCACCAGAAGGCATGAGATTAATTCAGAGTATTTTTTAAAACCCTTTTCACGGTATTGCTGCTGTAATATCATATTGGAGGCATGGAAAGTAGTTAGTGTTTTTTCCAACATGTCTTCATCTTTTATAGTTTCCCCACATAATTTCAGTTGGGAAGTTATTCTAAATACAACAGAGTTATACTCAATTACGGTTTTATAATCTTGAAACCGTAAGTGCATCCACTCATAACGAGACCTTGGCAATACCGTTGCCTTGAGGTGGTCATACCTCCCTTTCAAACCTATCCACAATTCAAGTGGATCTTTCACTGTTAAGTATTTGACCTTCAGGCTTTCATCAAGATGATGACGAAGGAAAATCATAGCTTTCGCTTTATCCTGACTTGATGCCTTATTTCCTTCGATTATACAATCACCAAGACCTTAGCGGTAAGGTGAATTTCAGCATCAAGTACCCATGACAAATAGTTCTTCCAGAAATGTCAAGTGCCACAAATTCAAGCTTTGATAAATTCGACATGATGAAAAACTATCATAAAATAGTTGAGTTAATAACATGATTTTGATTTCTTTATAATGAAAGATAAATTAATATTTCAAATGATTAAGAATTAGTATAAAATATATCATATGCATGAACATGGGATGTTACAAAGCATGTAAACTCATAAAGTATGAAACGGTAAATTTAATATATATTCTAATTATTTTACAATATTTATTACTAGTTCAATAGTTATTAACACCAAAGTTTCGTAAGATTTTTAAGTCATATTTAACATAATACTATTATTCTTTATGACACACTAATATTTATCATAAATTTATGACAAGAAATTAAAATACTTACGATTATTTTAACTAGCATGTTATCATATATCCTAGTATTTAATTTAGAGTTATAAATTACTAGCATTTAAACAACACAAAAATATAAACCTGAAACGTATTGATTATTATGCCT